GACTCACTTTCTCAGAGAGTCTTGATCCAAAATACATCTCATAACAGCTGGTGGACAATCAACACAGTCCTCTCCTCTTTCCCTGAGCATATGTGTGTTTTATGACCCTTGACCATTTCCACTTCTAAATATGATCTTAGTGGGGATGAAATGACACCTGTGACACAAAAGAGTGAATGCAGACCATCAGTCCTGCAACAGCTGTGGGAAGTGACCTGCTAACCATAGGAGACCAGCACCCACAAGTGAAGCTGACTGCCACCTCTCTTTTCTATGTGAGTAAAACATTGTTTCACCCACTGCCTGTGAGTGTAAGTCATGCTTTTTGTAGGTGACCATGGACCCTGACTCAACACTTATTTACCAAACACTGGTCCATGTCTGGTCCTTGGGTAGCACAAATAATTTGTGCTCAGCTGCTACTAATCAAAAAGTTGGCAATTTAAAACCACTCCATGGTGCCATAGAGGAAAGGCCTGATTCTCTACTTTCATAAAGATCACAGCCACTCAAACCCTAGGGAGCTCATTCTACCCTGTAACACATTGGGTTGCCATGAGTCATAATCAGCTCAGAAGCAATAGCGTTTGCTGGTAACCAGGTGTGTTTTGTTTTCTTCTGTATTTATTTATTTAAAAACCTTGGTGTGTTTTTTTTTTTTTTTTTCATCCAGGGTTAGATAGGGCTAAATACTAAAACATCATTCAAGTATGTATCTGAATAGTTTAATCTTGAGATCTCTTGCTCAAATTATCTTCTTTAGGAATTCTAGAATAGCACAACCATATCTTGGACCACCCTCACATTCTTAGAATTGCTGGAGTCTTTTGATCGAGAATGTAGCATTAGCTAAGAAAGTATGTTTAAGTGAGACATAAAGGAATGACTAAAGTTCACTTGGCTCAGCCTCACAAGGCATGCTCTTCCAGGTGATTCATTATCAGCTTTGTTTTATTTATCTCAGGTAGGGTCTCTTCCCACATTGCAAAGAGATATGAGGATCAGCTGAAAGGATTCTTTAGAAGCTGGGATACTAAAATCTATGGTAACAAAGGAACAGCAAATGGCCTAGAAAGGGAGAGAAAAGTGCTTACCATTGATTCAATTTTCTGGCTCATTTCTGTGAAATTTTTAGAACCTTCTTTTCCAAACTCGCCATATAATTTGTCACTTGTGAATGACAGTGTGCTGTAGTAATTGTGGGTCTTCCTTTGATCTATAAGAAAAGAGGCATAAAAAAACATCATATTTTAACAAAAAAAA